CGGCGAGACAAGAGATGCTTTAATGGCCCCGGGGCTGAACCCGCAGCCGCTCCCGCCCCCCCGCACTCAGTCGACCACCAGGCTGCTGCTGACCGCCGGCAGGAGCTCGAAGAAGCCCTGGAAGGAGACAGGCCATCAGGGTGGGCCGGGCAGGGCAGCGCAGGGCGGGGGAGGGGACAGGCGGCGGCTCCCTGTCGGGTTACGCGCGCGGCGTCATAGCAGGCAGCTACTGGCAGAGAGCAGGACCGCGTTGCCATAGCAACCCATCACTGACTCAAGGCTAGCGCTGGTTGCCATAGGAACCATTTGGGGATGGCAGTCGCCAGGGAAGGCTGGGATGCGAGGGGGCACCTCCGGAAGCAGCCGGCACTGGCGCTGCCCCAGAGGGTACCCACCGCCCCAAGGCAGGGGCTGTACGGGGACGTGGGGATGCAGGGAGGTAGAGCAGTGGGGAGGGGGTTTTGGCGCAGGCCGGGGGACACGGGGCTCACCTTGAAGAGGGTGATGCTCTGGAGCACCCCCGAGGTGCAGCACATCTCCCGGATGGAGTGCATGGCCAGCTGCGGGCAGCCGATGTCCAGCACGCGCAGCCCCAGGCGGGAGGCCAGAATGGGGCCGATGGTGGTGCCGCAGGGCGTGTCGTTGCGCACCATGAACTCCTGCATGGGGACATGGCCTCAGCGGCTCCTCACGCCACCCCATGGCCTCCCACATAGGCCCCCGGGCCCGAAGGGAGGCAACCTGGGATGGGGAAGCAGCACCGTCCCCCAGCCAGGGTGCAAAATGCCCCAGAGACAGGATGTGCTCAGGCCAGGCCCTCCCCTCCTGTTCCCGAGCCTGCTCCCCGCGGCAGCCCCGGAGCTGGAGCCCCTGAGCAGCACACAGCACAGACCCCAGCGGGGACAGGCACGGTAACTGCAGGGTGGGGGGCTGGCACCCTCTCCTGAAGGCACGGGCAGGGCCGCGGCACAAGCTGGTAACGTTCAGAGAGGGCTCACCCAGCCCCGCTCACCTGCAGAGGGACACCCACACGGGCGGCGATGTCCCGGATGACGGCTTCGGTGACAGCCGTGGAGGCGTAGCGCTGGTTGCTGTTCACTTTGATGACGGGGCCCTGCACAAGGGAAGGCACCGCGGGCCCGCAATTGGCACCGGCGATAGTCAGTGGCTCTGGAAACACCCGTGCCCAGGCAATGCCGTCCCGCCCCAACCCACCAGGTCATTCTCCCCTCCCTGGGTGATCCGTGGGGATGAGGACAGCCCTGCCATGGGGACAGCCCCGGCTCAGAGCCAGGAAGGGCTCCAGGGCCAAGGCTGTGGTCCCAAGTCATGAACACCAGACGTGTGGCATGGCCAAACCGTGCTGCGCGACAAACGTCTCCCATGTGAGTGCTGTTGAGGTGCATCCCGGGACTGTGCCCCAGGGAGCAGCTGGGGGTTTCACAGGGCTGCAGGACAGATGGACAGCGCCCGTCCCAGCCCAAAGCAGAGGGCTGCCCTCACCTTGTGGAAGGCCGGACGATGATTCTCCTCATGCTTGTCCCTGCAAAAGAGAAGCGGGAGTTTCATGCTACAGCCCTCCCTCTCTGCCGCAACAAGGACTGTCCTGTCTGTACTCCTTGGGGAATGACAGGGATCCGTCCCCGCAGCTGGCAGGGCAGGCTGCCCTGGCCTGCAGCACTGCTCAGACTACTCACACATAGTTAGGGTGCACAGCATGGGCCATATCAGCACTGATCATGTAGGACTTGGCCACAGCCTCCTCGAAGGCTGTCAGGTTTTGCGGCGATGCCGAGATCCGGCGCAGCACCAGCTCCGTCAGCAAGGACTCTGCGCCCTGTGCACTCTCTGACCCTACCTGCCAAGGACCACCATCAGCACCACCCACGCGGCACAGCCCCCCGGCACCCCAGGGGCCGGCTGAGTGACAGGGGGCTCCGCAAAGCCAGCAGAGCAGCTTCCAACCACGCCGGTGTTTCCCAACCCCTGCCTGGGCCATGCTCCATGGGGGGGTAAGCAAACCCCCGCCTTGCCCCGCTGGGGCCTGGGATCTCTCTCCTGCTAGGCACAGCTGGGGCAGAACAAAGAAGATAAAGCCCCTCCCTGTGCCAGCCACCCCACGGCTGTGCCCCTCGCTCACCTCCTCGTTGTCATAGAGCGCGATGAGACGCACGTTGGGCTCCTGGGAGAGGGAGGAGGGCGCCGCGCATGAGTCAATCAAGGCCTGCGGGGTTAGAGGAGAAAGGACACCAGCTTGAGCGCCACCCCACCTGGGAAAGCTCAGCACTGAGCCGGCAGGAACTTTCCCAGGAGAGCCCGAAGCACCAAGGAAAGGAGCTGTGGGCACACGCATTGCCCAGCGAGAGCAGGAGTCACCCCTGGGAGCTGCTGGGAACCCCACGCACCCAGCAAAAGGGGCAGCCCCCATCCAACCCCAGATCCTCCAACAAACCAGACCCACCCCACAGGAACACGCCTCCCTGCAGAGCCTGGGGCCAGCCCGCGGCCCCGCTAAGCTGAGCCAGGGTGCACAGGGGCCACGCTGCGGCCTCCAGGCTCCTCTTCCCCTCCTGCTCAC